GAAAGCCAGTCGAATCCGACTCTAGGGTTGCGGTGCTCATCTCCGTTTCAAAGCCGAAGAGCCAGCGCTGTCCGAAGACGTTTCCGTGGTCATGTGGCCGGCATGACTAAACACCAAGGCGCACGGAACGCTGTTACCTTCCCACCGAAGTGGTACCTATTTATCTACTTGCAATTTCTTGCTTTCGAACTGCTAGGTTGGCAGGAGCTGGAACTAGAGACGGGAGCTCACTCCGTCATGCGGCAACTCGGGTCTTGAACTGCTGAACTACCAACCTTCCACCGCCTGCAGTTTAGCGTCTTAACCAGTTGAGCCACCGCAGCTGCTAGATAGTAGAATGCCCCTGTATAGATCGATGGTGCAACCTCATTTGGAGTACTGTGTACGGTTCTGGTCACCACACCTCAAAAAGGATATTCTAGCATTGGAAACAGTGCAGAAAAGGGCAACTAGAATGATAAAAGGGTTGGAACACTTTCCATGTGAAGACAGGTTAAAGCGCTTGGGGTTCTTTAGCCTGGAGGAACAACGGCTGAGGGGTGACATGATCGAGGTTTACAAGATGATGCCTGGGATAGAGCAGGTAGAGAAAGAGGTGCTTTTCTCCCTTTCTCACAATACAAGAACTCGTGGGCACTCCATGAAATTGCTGGGCAGTCGGTTTAGAAGAGATAAAAGGAATTCCTTCTTCACCCAAAGAGTGATTAACCCATGGAATTCACTGCCACAGGAGGTGGCAGCGGCTACAAGCATGGACAGCTTCAAGAGGGAATTAGATAAGCATATGGAGCAGAGGTCCGTCAGGGGCTATTAGCCACAAGGTATAGATAGGGACTCTCAGTCTGGGGCGAGTGATGCTCTGTATTCTCGGTGCTTGGGGGGGGGGGTGAAACAGTGGGAGGGCTTCTGGTGTCCTGGCCCCACTGCTGGACCTCCTGAGGGCACCTGGTGTTTTTGGCCACTGTGTGACACAGAGTGTTGGACTGGAGGGGCCATTGGCCTGACCCAACATTGGCCTCTCTTGTGTTCTTACAATCACGTGTTCACGTCACAGACTGCTGCTATTCAGCCCTTGTTTGGATGAAGGACAGGTTCTGACAACAGGAGCGGAGGCCCCCATGGCACGCTCCAGGCACGGCCTGTAAGGGGCTTACCTTCCTTCCAGGTCCACTATGTTCAGCGTGTCCTCGAGAAGGTGGGTCTTGAGTTCGTAGTCCTCCGGGCTGCTGGCAGTGAGGGATGGAGAAGCGTTGACTTCTAGGAGCCACCTGGGTGGGGGACACACAGCGAGACAGGAAGTAGCAGGGAGAGGAAGAAGCTGCACCATTCGTCCACGGAACAGGCCGCCAGGTGGAAAGGGGGGAGCTGGACCAGGAAGGTTGGGTATCTAACAGTGCGGATCTGTAAGAGCGCAGCTCATGCAGCGTTTGGTAAGGAATGGCATGAGTGCGTAACTTGTGTTTCTGGTAGAGCTTCAGACTCGCCCATAAACTTTGAAGCCATGGGGGGGTACTCCCCCCCCATTTTTATTTAGGGGGAAAATTGAAATTGCAGGGAAAATTGAAGTATATACAATGGTAAAAGGTAAAGGGTTTCCCCTTGCTCAAAAGCCAGTCAAATCCGACTCTAGGGATGCGGTGCTCGTCTCCGTTGCCAAAGAGACAGCACTGTCCGAAGGTGTCTCCATGGTCATGTGGCCGGCATGACTAAACACCAAGGCACACGGAATGCCGTTACCTTCCCACCAAAGTGGTCCCTATTTATCTACTTGCATTTTCTTGCTTTCAAACTGATAGGTTGGCAGGAGCTGGGACCAGAGACGGGAGCTCACTCTGTCATGGCGGCACCTGGGTCTCAAACTGCCGAACTACAGACCTTCCGGCCTGCAGTTCAGCGGCTTAACCACTTGAGCCACCTATCGTCTTATCAAACCTAAACTAATTTTACTGCTTTAGCAACATAAGATGCATTGTTTATAACTTAGCATAAAAAATAAGGGCAGCGCAGTCGGTAAGAGCGTCAGACTGGGGTCTGTGAGACCCAGGTTCGAATCCCCACTGGTGCCAATGAAGCTCGCCGGGCGACCTTGGGCCAGGCGCACACTCTCAGCCTGACCTACCTCACAGGGTTGTTGTTGGGGTAAAATGGAGGAGAAGAGAACGACGTCAGCAACTTTGGGTCCTCATTGGGGGAGGAAGATGGGGGACAAGTCAAATAAGCAGAATTGCAGTATTTTACATATTTATGGAATTTAAAAATCGTCTTTCTTTTCTATAAGCAAAACTGCCAATGTACTCAATAGGTAAAAGTAAAGGTTCCCTTGCTCGAAAGCCACTCAAATCCGACTCTAGGGTTGCGGTGCTCATCTCTAGGTTGGCAGGAGCTGGAACTAGAGACGGGAGCTCACTCCGTCATGCGGCGCACTCGGGTCTCGAACTGCTGAACTACTGACCTTCCACAGCCCGCAGTTCAGCGTCTTAACCACTTGAGCCACCGCAGCTCCAATATACCCAATACTTGAGACAAAACTGCAAGCTGATGCACCGATGCGACCTTAGCATGTGCACCTTACTTTTTGCTATCTGAAAAGCGGGGGCGGGGCTGCCCCCAATATTCGTGGGGCCTTCTGAAGGGCCCCCAGTCTCCCCCCCGGCAGACCACCGCCCCCTCCCTCACAGACCTGCCCCTCCCCTCCCCTTACGGCTTGAGGTCCTGGTCGATCAGAATGTCGTAGCCGTAGAGCTCGAAGCAGTGCTTGTCGCTGATGATCACTTTCTGGACGCTCTGCAGGCTCTTGATGAAGATGTTGTCCATCTCGGCAAAGAGGCCCTCCACCGCCTCCGCCCCGTGCTTGGCCGTCAGGTAGAGGCGGAACTGCTGGATCATCCACTTGCAGCCCTGCTGGGACAGAGAGCCGGTGCGCCGTTGGCAGTTAAGAGGGTGGAGTTCTAATCCCCCGCTCGTGCCACAGATGCTCAGCGGGTGACCTTGGAGATAAGATTCTGAAGAAATGTACATGCACACGCAAAGCTTCTACCTTGAATAGAATCATAGAATGTTAGAGCTGGGAGGGACCTTGCAGGTCATCTAGTCCAACCCCCTGCACTTTGCAGGAGCAGAGCCAAAAGAGAGCCCTACATACCTACAACATACCC